TGCGACCAGCTCCACTGGCTCCGACAGAAGGGTGGTAATTCTCACAATGGAGGAGCCGGAGACCATGCCCAGGATAGAATCTACATCCCAGACATGGAATGAGGTGAATTTTGGGGACAAATTACTACTGAACTGCTCAGCCATCGGCAAACCCAAACCCAAAATACTCTGGAGGCTGCCATCCAAGGCTGTTGTGGACCAGTGGCACAGGTAAACCACACCTTTGTGTTGATATTACCGTCTTTATCTACTTAGCTGTACAACTTCTGAAGTGGAAAAGTGATACAGCGAGTTTTTGACAACAGTTTTATTGAGCTTAGACTCTACACATAAACGTAACTCTCTCTAAAGAGGCCTAATCCTTATAAAATAATATAAATTATATATAACCAACCTTTTATCTGCCTAACTCTGAAGGCCAACTTCTTATTGAGTTTATATAGTTAGAAACAATAAAAATGTCATTTATTTTCACGATTATGACAATTTAAAAATGGTAACTGTGTAAATGTATGCATTTATAATCCCTTGATCAAAAAAGAGAATTCTTTCAATTCAATCAGTCAAGGTCCATTATTTCACTCTTCAAATTCTCCTGTTAAATATTTTAAATTTGAGTATGATCTGTGCTAATTGCATCTGTCTTAAAATTGCAAAGCCCTTTCTGAGTCACAGCATGAAGACCTCCACAAAGTGGAGTATGGTCAGGACGCCATCGCTCTGACGCCCTCAGTCTTTCTCTAACATTCTGTTACAGGCTTGTGGATGCCGGTTTTCATCTGATTTTCTATAGAGTTTAAACCATCTTTGAAAAGTAATAATTACAAGCTTATGATCACTGATTTTTGTCATTTGCATGACTTTATGCAATGATTTTTATAATATGACAAAAAAGATGGGAGTAAGTATATTTCATATATTTGCTTTTCATTAATAGAGAATACTATGCAGGACAAATTTAACATAATAGATATGAATTTATATTCCTGCTGACAAGTTGAATAGATTTTTCTAGTGGCACACTATAAGTTGGTATTGAATGCTATTAATGAATTTAATTTGTGATCTTTAATTCAAAAGTAGATGGTAAGTTTCAATTTTTGCAAATAATAAGTCAAATGTTAATTAAAATTAATTTAAAATGAAAAATACTGAGCTATGAAATGTAAATTTCAGAAGTGATCTATTTGCTTACTATATGTATAGCCACTTATGACATCAAATATTTCCAATGCTTTATCCATCTTTGCGTCTAATGTAACTCAGCATGTTTCTTTCTTTTTTGCCTTCAAGTAATTATAAGCATTGCACTAATGTTGAATGCCAGTTCTTTTGTGAAATTAAAATATTTAAATAAATTCCAAGGCACATGGAGATGTATCTTAAATTAGGTCACACATAATTCTGCTGCAGGCGATGAAGGAAATGCACTGAGAACTAAGTTCAGAGCAGTGGCTCTGGGACTTTGCTGCACATCAGAATCATTTGGAAACTAAGAATCCAAATGCCAAGGCCACATTCCACATCATATAAATCAGAAGCTCCATGGATCCAGGCTCAGCATTATTTCATACTACACACTAATTTTAATGTGCATCCAAGTTTGAGAATCAGTGCTTTTAGAAAGGATTAGGCAAGAATGATAGCAGGTGGAGTGTAGCATAGTGTACAAAACATGGCTTGAGAACCAGCCCTGGGACCAAAGTAAGTTATGAATTCTCTCTAAATATCATCTTTTAAGCTGAATAGTGGGGAATTTCTTAAAGATTTTAAAGTACCATTTCCTTTATGAAGTGTGCCCATTATGATTTCTACCTTGGTTTACATACCAGAAAAGTTTCTTCCACACTTGAAAAAAAATTGCAAAAACATAGGCATGTTTTGTAATGTTCTACTATAATACTCTCCATACTTAAGATATGTTTGCTGGAAAATACAAAATGACTTGAGGCTGTTTAACTTGGTTAACAGTTATGCTATGTGAGATTGTCCATACTTTTCTCTTCAGTTTCACCTGCCTGCTTAGCTCATGTTGCCAAAAAATTAGCAGAAAAGCCCCCCACAAGATTTCCTCTATGGGTGTTAATCACGTTTTTAGTTCCAACCCAATATCCACTGGTCTTTCTGAAAAACTAGATTTTGTTTTAACAGGAAAGATCTGCCATCTGGGGGTTCATAGTGGTAATGACAGGCTGTGTAGTTGCTTCAGAGAGAAAAAGGAAGCTCTACATACAGTCCAGCCCAATGCAAGGACCTGTCACTTTATGGCCGCCCACAAAGGGTGGACACTACAGCAAGCTTCTATGTCTTACACTGGCATTTTCTCTCTTTATAACAAAGGAGAACTTATCTAACCAAGTAACTCTAAATGTTTTATAACTAATATCTCTCTAAAAAGTATAACCCAACATCTTTTCTAACAAGAATGAAAGTTTTTTTACTGACATCTTACAGAATAATAATTTGATACGTAAAATGGTCAAAAAGGATGTGTCTGGGATTCCACTATTTGTAGCATTCTTCACACCGTTGTAATTTTTTAAAAATTCACCATGTAAAGGAGATTAATTTGAAGTCCATCTGATAAGTACTACTTGTTTGTACTAAATTGTACCTTTTCAGTTAGATAATTTTATCTTTTAGTAACTGGCTTAGAAGACAGTAAATAAGCTAGTCCTGATTTTAATTCTATTGCAACAATTTAAGAAAATGTCCATAAAGTTAAATGCCAATAAGACAACTCCTCTATTTCCTGTCTTTTGCTAATGGCCTCACACTCAAATCATTCTTCTCTCCTTAGAATGGGCAGTCGAATCCACGTCTACCCAAATGGGTCCCTGTTTATTGGATCAATAACAGAAAAAGATGGTGGTGACTACTTGTGTGTGGCAAGAAACAAAATAGGGGATGATCTGATACTGATGCATGTTAGCTTAAAGCTGAGACCTGCCAAAATTGATCACAAGCAACATTTTAAAATGCATGTGTTTCATGGGAAAGACTTCCAAATTGATTGCAAGGCTTCTGGCTCACCAGTGCCCCAGATATCCTGGAGTTTGCCCGATGGAACAGTGATAAATAATGCAATGCAAGCTGATGACAGCAGGTGGCGTACCAGGAGGTATACTCTTTTCGACAATGGAACCTTGTACTTCAACAGCGTTGGGGTAGCAGAGGAAGGGGATTACACTTGCTATGCCCAGAACCCTGTAGGGAAGGATGAAATGAAGGTCCACCTAACGGTCATAACTGCTGCCCCACGGATCAAGCAGGGTTTCAAGGCCAAACCCAGAGTCAGGGCTGGAGACACAGCCACCTTTGACTGTGAGGTTGTTGGGGAACCCAAACCAAAAGTATTCTGGCTGCTGCCTTCCAAGGATAGGATTTTATTCTCAAAAAATAGGTACACATTTTATGCCAATGGGTCTTTGTCCATCAACAACGTCAAACTGCTTGATTCTGGAGAGTATGTATGTGTGGCCCAGAATCCCAGTGGGGATGACACCAAAATGTATAAGCTGGAAGTTGTCTCCAGGCTCCCGTTAATCAATGGTCTGTATACCAACAAAACTGTCATCAAAGCCACCGCCGTGAGGCATTCCAAAAAGCACTTGGATTGCAGAGCTGAAGGGACACCATCTCCCCAAGTCACGTGGATCATGCCAGACAACATTTTCCTCACCGCCCCATACCATGGAAGCAGAATCACGGTCCATAAAAACGGAACCTTGGAGATTAGGAATGTGAGGCGTTCAGATTCAGCCGAGTTTACCTGCGTGGCTCAGAATGACGGAGGAGAGAGTGTGCTGGTAGTACAGCTGGAAGTACTGGAAATGCTGAGAAGACCAACATTCAGAAATCCATCTAATGAAAAAATATTTGCCCAGGTTGGGAAGCCCACAGCATTGAACTGCTCTGCTGATGGAAACCCACTACCTGAAATAATCTGGATTTTACCGAATGGCACACGGTTTTCAAGGGGACCACACAGCCCTCAGCACCTGACAGCAAGCAGCGGTTCTTTAGTGATTTATAAAACAACTCGGAATGATGCAGGAAAATACCGGTGTGGGGCAAGAAACAAAGTGGGCTATATTGAGAAATTAATTGTATTAGAAATTGGCCAGAAGCCAGTTATTCTTACCAATGCATTGGGAACAGTGTATGGCATCAGTGGGGACTCTCTCTCATTGCACTGTGTGTCAGATGGAAGCCCTAAGCCAGATATCAAGTGGACTGTACCAAGTGGTCATATAATAGACAGACCTCAAATTAGTGGAAAATACATATTGCATGAAAATGGCACTTTAGTCATCAAAGAAGCAACAGCTTATGACAGAGGAAACTATATCTGTAAGGCTCAAAACAGTGTAGGCCATGCACTGGTTACTGTTCCAGTACTGGTTGTCGCCTACCCTCCCCGAATTACAAATCGCCCACCCCGGAGCATCTTCACAAGGACAGGGGCAGCTGTTGAGCTTCACTGTGTGGCTCTGGGCGTCCCCAAGCCGGAAATCACATGGGAGATGCCTGACCACTCCCTGCTGTCAATGGCAAATAGAGGGAGGACACATGGGACTGAGCTTTTCCACCCACAAGGCACCCTAGTCATTCAGAACCCTCAGAGCTCAGACTCCGGGATATACAAGTGCACAGCAAAGAACGCACTTGGTAGTGATTCTGCAACAACTTATATGCAAGTGATCTGACATAAAATAACATTTCTTGAATAGTCAACATCTGGAGAGTTTACTTTTTTGGAAGAAGTTTAATCAAAGGCAGCGATAGGCATGTAAATGAATTTAAATACATTTACAATATTAAATTTATCATGGACATGCAAAAAAAGACTTGTAAATATATGCATTATGAATTGATACTGATTTCTTTAATGGATCTCAAAACAAATTTTTAACTTAAGGCACTTTTATTTTGCCAACAAATAACAATGAACATTTAGAGAAAACTATCCACTATAAAACAACACATGGCTAATGTACCTGAATTCTTCATTAAATTGACTTTTTTTTTTTTTAAATTACCAGTTCCCTAGTGTCCACCTTCTGTTAATGTTATGGGCATGGCACGACAATAGACAATGGAACAGATTAAATTTTCAGTCTTGATGTAAATTTTCCATTTTGATGTATAATGTATAAATATTTTGTGGTTGGTTTATAAATATTTTACTAAAGCCTACAGAAAATAAGCACTTAACTGTTTTGATGATGATTTACTGTCTTGTGCACACTGAAGTTTTTCATAGACGGGGAATACAAGGATGTTTTAATGACTGAATTTAAAAAGAAATGCAGGCTAACTTTTCCGACATGTAAAAAGCAACTCAACACCTGCAAATAAAAAACATGAAAAGGGGGCTGATTACATCCTTGTCTAAATAAACCCACTAAAAATGTTTTAAAAATACAATGAAACCTCTTTATAGCTTCAAAATCCAGCTCAGGTACCCTGGTTTGGAGCTGTCACAAGAAAAAGTTCCTGAGAAGGAACCATTGCTTTATGAGCATTTAATTTCGTTAAATGGGAATCCTTTATGCGACAGGTAAGTGTTTAGGAAAGCTCTAGATCTAATCATATAATGAAGTTTCACTGCACTTAAAATTTCTTCAACTGTACCCAAAATGTTGCCTTTCGTAATTTAATGAATTTATTTATATTACATGCTTAATTCAACCGGAATTAATTTGGGGAACATTATGATTCATCTTTTCTAATTGTAGAGGCTGGGATTTTCCAATGTAATTTCTCCAGCATCTATTTAAATATTCGCCTATTATTTAAGAAGAATTATAGGAGCCTTAATAAGATAAAAAGAAAATGCCATAGGTTTTGCTCAGATATTTCAGTACCCAAACCGAGAGCTATGTCAGCCCCCACCAATCATCTGAGATATATGGGGGAGCTCACTTCATTGTGTTTTCACCACACCCACTTTCAGCTGGCCCCACTGAGAGGTGACTGATTGCTGCTGCCTCTGAGGTTGGGTTCCCATGGCTGAAATAAGTCAAAGGATATTCATTCTAACAGTGATCTTCTACTTCTGGGCCAAGAGGAGTAAGTCACATAACAAATGCAACCCTACTAGGAACAAGTCTACAGTGAAAACGTTATGTCTAAGGGCTTCTTATGTCCAACTCCATTCTATTTCAAGGTCTTATATTTAACAGGGTGGGGGTTCCCATTTATCCTAAGATAATTTCTTCTATTTCATGAAACAAATTACTAGCTTCTGTCAAAGGACAGGACTTTCCCTTGTGATCATTTAATGCAAATTAACGCATTTGCTAAAAAAAAAAAAAAAGAAACCTCTCAGGATAGAGGGTTAAGTGGGAGTTACTATGATGAGACTAGATTAAAATTTCCAGTTGCCATTTTTATTACGCATAGGGAGAAACCAGTTTTAGTTTTTTCCTCAACTTTCCATAGAATCTTGGAAGCCTTACCATGACTTAGCTTCCTCACCTAAAAAAGGACACACAACAAAAATGTACACCCACAGTCTTCAAGTGCAAATGATTAATAAATTAATTTCACTAAGTTCTGCAAAATATAAAGTGCATACAAATGCTATGCAATTATAACACTCATTCTTGAAACAGTATTACTGCTGTTTGCAATACTGAGCTATAAAAATATATGGTTCCAACAGAAAACTGAGATTTTTTTAAATGCCAATAATTCTCAAAAGGAAAGAAAATGACAATCGGGGTGGAAAATGACTCTCTCCGGGCACAGCATTCATTGTTCGGCTGTCTAGCCAAGGCAGTCATTATACAGATATACTACTTGAAGAAAAATAATATCATGGACTCTAAAGATGATTCTTGTGGGGGGAAAAAACAGCTCGATATACAAAACCAGCTGAAAAGTAAAGATGCATCCTCTGAAAGCAGGTTGAATATGTTAATCTAGTGAAAAGAATGGTCCTTCATGTTTTGGCAAAGTCTTTTCCAGCCCAGAGTAAACAAGAAATGAGCAGGCCGGAGTAAACTGGTTTCACAGTGTACAAAGCAGTTCACAGGGATGTTGCCACAGCAAAGTAAGCAGACATACATTTGAGGTCATTTGCATGAGTCAAACTTTGCAATGAGTAACTCATCTAGGAAGATATAAATTATTTATATAATGCTTTGCAAAGGAAGTGATCTACTAAAGTTGTACTAGTTACATTCAAAAGAAAGTAGTTCTACATGGTTTGTTCATTATAGACAAATCTATTCACAGTATGTGCAACTACATGACATGTGAAATCATATGGCAAAAGGAAATGAATTAACGCAGAACATGGGAAAATATCCCTCACATGTTTTTAAATGCCCTGCAATTTTCACATTCAAAATTTTATGCATCTAAATCTAAAAAAATATTATATGGAATACTCTTAAATTACACAAACTGATAATTTACTGGATTTTTTACTCTAATAGGAGCAAATTACCACATACTTGAACAAAGTTAAAATAGTTACTATTTCTTTATAATAAATTTGATGTATAATTTACTTTACTTGTGCTTTTTGCACCAATTTATAAATACATTATATGCAACACACAACCGATTTGAACACCAACATTAACAATTAAATTCAAAATAGCAAATACTTACCATATAAAATAAACAGCAAATGCATTTTTTTTATGAAAACCAGAGCTTTCTGGACTGGAGGCCAAATTCTCTGGAAACCATGTCAAGTTTGAGCACTGTGGAATCTCATGTCAGCTGCGAGATTCTTTTTCTCAAGTTGGCATAAGATTCAGGAGAACCAAAACTGGACACAGTCATTTTTGCCAAATCTGGCAGTAAATAATTGGACAATTCCACCATGGTTTGTTGGGGCCTTTAGAATTTCCATGTCGTACCTTCACAGAGACTCTGGTCAACGACCTTGCTACTGAAAACAAATTTGAGTACAGCTACTTCCAGCAGGCTTCCACCTTCTTAGGGCATCATTCACAGAAGCCCTGGGTTAAGTTCTTGGTCTAAGAAGTTTAAGTACTAAGCAACAATCTGTTTCAGCACCTTTTGACCACAACAAAAGCAAAAAATAACCCTATATAAATAAGAACAAAGTTTATAAAGTGCTTATGAAGTTACAAATATTTCAAATTAGAGTGATGTGAATAAGTGTCCATTTCACCATCAAAGGTAAATGCAGAATTAATGGGTCACTTTTCTGTCAAGACCTGACATGACTTTCAAATCAGTAGTTTGGTCCGGCACAGTTTGAAAAGAAAAAAAAACTTCATTAATGAATATATAAATATATTATATTTACCATAATTCATTCTTTCTATGAGATTCAAAAAAAGCACCAATATAAAAAAGTCTGCTACCAAACTCTCTCTGGAGTAGGCCCGCATGATCCACATTTTTAAACCTATTTTAAAGCTGAAAGCAACAAGACAAAACCACGCCTCCTACTTTGCTTTTTGTTTAAACACCTTTGTACAAGTGTAGCATAAAACATAAAGAAACTTCAAAGAATTGAAATAACAAAGGGACATTTCTAAAGATGACTAATGCATTAAATTTGATTTCTGTTTTTCAGTGCAAACATAAAACTTCATGTCTTGTCCTCTTCCAGATTCAGAAGTGTGAAGGGTGTCCATAGGGAGTCACTCCTTGCTGTGGCTGGTTACCTAAGAAGAAAAAGAAATACAAATAAAATTGTAGATGCAAAAATATGCCACAGATAGATGCCACCCCTTTGTCACTTCTCAATAACAGCCTGACTGACTGGCCAGGAGCACAGTGCTGGCCAGGGGCCCCCGAGTGGCAGAGCATAAACACTGCAGCTGAATTCATTTCTCAGGGAGCCCAGCTCACCTGAGTCCCACACCTGCCAGCACAAGGTTCTGTCAGCACAAGGCTCAGACGAGGGTAATTGGTCTCTATCTCTGAACTGAGAAACAACTCAATACTAACTTACAAAAGGACTCTAAGTATCACTAAACATTGAAAGTGCTCAAAATTTTTATAAAAACACACCAATTGTTCTGCTTTAACATGGATATTATGAGATGAGAAAAGTAGCTTGAAAAATAGTAGGTACAAAGAAACAGGATGAGAATAGCCACTGCTCGCACAACTCTTGTGGGACTGTTCAATACAGAGGCCCATTCTCAAGGTGTGATAGAAAAGGAACCCTCTGGAGGGTGCAGTGGGCAGCTCAGCTTAGTTGTCGTTCAACCAAGGAGGCGGCAGAGTGTGCACCCGCCTTAGGAGAGACTTGGGAGCACTGCGGGCTCGGTTTCAGACCAAGCAATAAAGCGAGTCATAACCTTTTTCGGTGGAGGCTCTTGCCTTCAGTTTGTCAACCTGTGAAGCTCAGTAAAGCTCAGCGCAAGGAAACGGGGTAGGCCTGTGTGGTGATGCAGCGGCTCCGGGAAGAGCCGTCGGAGCTCTGCCCCAGCTTGTCCCTTGCTGTCAGCTGAAGAATGTTGGGCAGACAAGTCATGACCTTATCCTTTATCTGTTTTCTTGTCTATAACTGGAACAGTGACAATATCTAACCTCATGGGGTGGTTTAGGAATTAAGTGAATTGATACATGTGAAGTCACAGTGTGCCTGGGTCCAAGAAAGTGCTCCATAAAGGATGGCTGGTTGGGGGGGGCGAAGGCATAGATGGGATAAATGGTGATGGAAAAAATAATTTTTTTTTTAAAGCTGCATTTCATGAGCTCTGGGAAATTGGAAACAAGAGGAGATGTGCTCCCTAAATAGGTACTACTATATGAAAATCACCGGTACATATTTCTAAACATTGGAAAAAATCTAAAATACACACACATTGGTCTTGTCCTTAAAATTATGTTGTCTATTTAGCCATGTAAAAATATCACCACCAGAATTAACAGAGCAATGACATTTTAACCACATGTTTGTTGAGTAGACCACACCTATTAAGTGGCAACTGGAAAAGAGGATTGATTTACAAAATTTAACTGAAATTAAATGAGGCTATAAGAGGAAAATATTTTTAAAGGGGAAAAAAGGTCTTGGTTATGTCCTGGGAAGGACACCAGGTACAGGAGGGGTATCTCCCCTGCAGGGAATCAGCAGCCAGGCCGAAAAGCCAGATGAAACCAAGCTGCCCGCCCTCAGTCGGGAACCGGCCCCTTCCTCGCAGCACCCTACCCGTCGCAGGGGCAGGGCTGCTCAGGACAGGCTGCTCAACTCTGCACCCCAGAAGCACGTACCCTGGGACCAGGAGAACCTGCTCCTCTCCTCACTCCATGGATGAGAACCACATGATCCAGATAACGGCGGCAGAGCTGGCACCAGATTTAGGTCCCCTGGTTTCCAGGCCAATACTCTGCCCCAGAGGGCTGGCTCCCGTTGCTAACAAATTTCCTGTGCCTGCTGCCAACACAGGTTGATAGAGTCACGGAGCTCCCCGCTGGCGTCTGTCCACACGAGGGAGCTGAATGGGTGAGTGGTATGCACTCTAGAGGCAGCACCATTAAAAACATCAGCCCACACAGCAGGCGGGACCACCAGGAAGAACTGCAGTGCCTCACCGCCTGTGGTGGTACAGGTCTGATGTGTCTGAGTTGTTGTCAGGAAGGGTAGGATGGTGCAGTGGTGAAAACAGCCACTGCCCTGTGATCAGGATACAGGTCTAATGCTGGCTCCCCTGTGTCTATGACTTTGGGGAGGTCACCTAACCTCATCAGTACATGTGAGGACATCCACTGAGTTGCTCTCTAAACCTTGCAGCTTTATAAGAGGGCACCTGCAGCTCCACAGGGGTCCCCAAAAGAAAAGAAATATTTCCAGGTTCAGCTGAAAGCAGCAGGAAAACCTCTTCACTGAACTAAAAAAACAACAACACACACACACAAAAGATTGGGGTTTTTCTAGGAAAAGTAGCATTCAAACCAAAACAAATAAAAAAACCACCTTAACACCGTAGACCCGTGGTCAGCAAACAGGCTCGTGAGCCATATGCGGCTCTTTGGCCCCTTGAGTGTGGCTCTTCCTAAGCCTTAGGAGTACCCTAATTAAGTTAATAACAATGTACCTAGCTATATAGTTTAAGTTTAAAAAATTTGGCTCTCAAAACAAATTTCAATTGTACTGCTATTTGGCTCTGTTGACTAATGAGTTTGCCGACCACTGCTCTAGACTAAACAAATTTGAAGTGGTATCAAGGAAGACAGTGCAGTTTTTGAGGAGCCAGCCCTTGTGTTTTGCTTGTTTTCAGTTTCCCAGGAACCATCTGTCCTGGCAAGAGGGGTACTTACTGGAGAGCTGCTTCTGGAGCTGCCGCACCAGGGCAGCCGTCTGCTGCTGCTGCTGTGTCTGCTGCAAGCCTTGCCTGGGAAACTGCAATGTGACAGGAGAAAGAGGGCGTCAGCCCGGGTGCCCATCACAGACACAGAGACTGACTCCCAGGGTCAGATAGTCTTCAACTACTCCAGGACAAAGGTGCCAGGCCAGAGTGTGTTCCTTTATTTTCACCTACATCTTGGCCTCCATCTGGTGGCCATATGAAGTGCCCAATCCACTTAAAAGTCCTCTCCATGTGGTTATGTGGCATTTATTTGAAGAGTCCTGATGAAGGAGCCCATACTCCAGCAGTGACCCAGTGGCTCAAATGTCCTTCTTATCTCTCCCTTCATCAGCTGGCTTATTTTAGTGTCACCATATTAGAAAACATTTTCATTGGCAAAATGCAAGCTTTCGGTCGGGGGATCTGTTCAAGCACCATAGGCCCTGCCTGCCCTGCATGAACGGCAGGGATGTGCTGAGGCAGAGCAGGCCCTAGGTCCGGACTCTCACGACTGAGCCTCCTACTGGACGGAGGAGAAAGGTCCACTACTCTCACCGGTGGCTGGGCTGGGCTGGGGCACCAAGGACGCAAACTCTGAGGAGATGCTCACTGCCAGAGTTGTGCAAGTGCAGGCACAGATGAGGGCCCATGTGCCCTGGTTCTGTCCATTAAGTTGATACAAAAAATTGTGGTGGTTCTTCTAGGGAAAAAACACTGTCCGGTAGAAGTGAAATCACTTTAGACTAAAATCACTGGTAGTGCTGATTTACTTTTCCCTTAACCTTTAAATTTCAGACTGTTGAGATTTTCTTCCTTTTCATGCCTGCCTTCTCTCCCTCTCCCCCTTCCCTTCACTTGGCCTTTTACTACTGTGACAGAGGACATGTTCTACTGCAAGGCCATCTTGACATGTACACATCAGAATTGTGCAGGCGATTTCTCACTCACCCCCACAGGCCACGCCCCACCCCATGGGGCCTGTCACCAGCCTCCTGGATGGAGTGTGGCCAGGCTGGCCCCTTGCCTCTTACGTCTAGATAGGGAGGCGCAGTCCCTGGAGACTGCAGGGCAGGAGCAGGTATAGTTGGAAGGGAGCAGAGTCCAATTTTGTTTTTGCCAATTTCCTTCAGGACAAGTCTCTGCTGGTGGAACACATCTCTCTCTGGGAAGCCACAGCTCCTGCCAGCAGCCCTCTCCTTTTCTCTCCTTCTTGTGCCATGGCCACAGAGCCCGGGGGTGTACCTGCTTCTGGCCTGGGGCCCTTTGTCATGCCTGGTTTCCCTTAACCTACCCATACCTCTGTAAACAGTCTTTTTTAAAAAACTCAATTACCCAATATGAGTGAAACATATATTTCCTCCTCAGAGCTTGCTGCTGTGGCTAAAAATAGCCCAGGATTATATTTAAGGTTGCCCGATTTAGCAAATGAAAATATGGAACACCCAGCTAAATGTCAATTTCAGATAAACAACACTTTTATTTTTTATTTTTTTTAGTTCTAAGTATGTCCCAAGTACTGCATGGGGCACATATCGCATTTAGTGTATGCCCCATACAATATTTGGAACATAATTCTAGAGTTATTCATTGTTTACCTAAAGCTGAAATTAATTTATCTGGCAACCCTAATTACAGAGCATCACTGGGTTGATTCTGTTAAAGCTGAATATTTCACACAACAGCGGATCCACCTGTTTCTCTCACACTGGACTGTGAGTGACTTAAAGACTTGGGCTTGTCTGTTAATGTATCCCTAGTATCCAGCAGTGCCAGGCACACCGTAGGTGCTCAGAAAAAATGGACAGAATGACTAACTGTGAAGTCCCTTCAATTTCCAAACCTGCCTCATAACAAGAAAGGTGCACCTCCACCCATGTTACTATTTCCCCCAATACATGGAAGGAAAAGAGCAGCTTGCCACTTTCTCCCACTGCCCAAATCAAGAGGGGGAAAAGAAAACAAAAATCCATCTTTCAGTGATGCAAAAAACGTTCATAAAATATGAAGTAAGTTCTTTTCTATTCAGTGGTTTCTATGATTATTTGGAAATAGACCCTATTTCTTTAACCAAAGCTAATATGGTTCTATGTGTGAGGCAGTGTTCTAGATAGCACCTGTACACATGAGCCCAGCGAGCCCAGCTAACCCTGAAAGGATAATACCACCCTCAGTCTCTCACACAAACCCTGGGCATGTGTGTTATGAAATTCAGTGCACATATGATTTACTATGAAACATTCATAATACATAGACCAAGCAAGATCTAGGACAGTACTCCATAATCAAACATTTTAAATCTCTGCAGCAACACACACAAACAGTCATATCAGATAAAACAAATAAAAAGAGCTTCACATCCGAGGTCAGCTTTTATTACCAAATTAATCAGGTCAGGCTTAGCTGTTCAATGAGTTATAAATAAAATTTCCATTCTCACAGGTGTCTGAATTTTGGGAATGAATATAAGAAATTGTGAAGCTTTTTTTTTTTAAAGATGGAAGAAGTGGAGGCTTTGAGGGGTGAAGTCAGTCCATGATCCTGTAAATTTTGGGGCTGGAATTCAGACTCGTCTTTCTGAGTCCAGAGCTCATGATCCTAACCACAATCTAGTGCTGTCCTTAATTGGAATATTAGCTTCCAAATATTAATTTATTTGAATATAATCACAGATTCTAAATGGTCGGCTGCAAAGATGTCTAATCTTATTAGCTGATTAAGGTACACAACACATAAATATCTAACATCTGTTCATTCAACAAACACTTAGCTGCCTTCTCTACGTTCATTTAAAGTCTGCTTCAAGTAGAGTATTTCTTAGAATGAAACACTGTAATGATCTCCTCAGATTTTTTATTTTGAGCCAAGGCAGTAACTAGGTCCCTGAGAAGCTAGTGTTTGTGCACAAGTACCCAGGAACACATGCAAGTGCATATGTATGCTGGAGAATGGTGGGTGGCCCACTGGGTGACCTTAAGAGATAATATCCCTGGGGGGACCCCAAGACTCTGTTCGGATGTCTACAAGGTCAAAACCATTTTCATAATACTAAGAAATTATTTGTTTTTTCACTCATTTTTTCATGAGTGTACTATGCAGTTTTCCAGAGAATAATGTGTGATACTGCAACAAAATGAATGCCTTTTTAACCCAGACATTGAAGTTTTCAAAACTGTAAAACAGTGTCATTCTCATTAATTTTTAGTTTGAAATATACACCCATTTTTCATTAAAAATGTTATTTCTTTTCATATGTAATTTTATTTTAGAATTATGAAATATTTTTAATATTTGTTTTAATTTCTAGTAAAGTAAATACTGATAGACACAAAAGCTTTTGCATGTGAAGGGCCACAGCTTTTGCTTGTGACGGGTTCAGAGGCCAAGAGCACTGAGAGCAGCAGGGGAAATCCACGGGATGATCTAGCATCTCCAGTACTCTCAGCTATAGTGCTTCACTACATTCCTCTCAAGGCCACCTGGCACTAAATGCAACTGGCTTTAACTTGTATCTGTACATGAGCATGCAAGAGATTGCATGTGCAATTTTCTTGGGAAAAGAAAGAGTGCCACCAACTCCCCACAGAAATCCCATTACTGAGCATTTCAAATCAAGTCACTGAATGTCTCCTGCAAAGGCTGAGCCCTGCACATGGCAGAGGAGCATAAAACCAACAGGGGAAGTTTAAGGAGTCACCCTCTTGGACTCCTCCCCAGACTTCCTGAATTAGAATTTCGGGGGCTGAAAATCTGTATTTTGTAAATGGTCCCTCTGGTGATCTGATGCTTGGCTAGATTTTGGAGTCATCCTTGTGGTGAGAGTTGGAACTTTAAATTGACCAAAATAGGTCAGAAAACAGGTCAACTGAGGTCCAACAACTGCCATCTGTGTATGTTTAATCTTCCTGCTGCAATGTAATGAACAAACAGGGAAAGGTCTCTCTGAACTCCATCCATGCAGGAGCTGATGATGGTTTCTCCCACCTGTCCCTTTGCAGATGTTAATCCTCCCAGAACATCTTCCCTTTCATCCTGTCCTGCACCCTCAAAAAGGCCCCAGCCTTGAACAACAGGCTCCAGTTGCCAGCCACGCCTCCAGGCATCTGCAGAGTGAATCAGTGCTCTTGTGCCTGGGCACTGTGATGCCCTTATTAGCAACAAGGCAGCTACCTCCTCTCCGCCCTCACACTTTGAGGAGGGGTGGGAGCTGTGCTATGTTCCCACTGCAACCACAGACAGAGCCCAGGCTTGATGATCTCCGTCAAGTGGAACAGGTCAGCAAAGCATAGTCACTCTCCAGTAAACACATTCTCTGCTGAACTAAAAAGAATATATTAAGAAGTATTTTGGCCTGACTGAGTGGCTCAGTTGGTTGGAGTGTACTCCCATACACCAAAAGGTTGTGGGTTTGATCCCAGTCAAGTCACATGTGGGAGGCAACCCATCAGTTCCTCACATTGATGATGTTGTTTTTTTTTTCTCTCTCTCTCATTCTCTCCCTCTCTCTAAAAATCAAGTAAAAAAAAAAGTGCCCTGTTTTGTAATTTGACTGTGGAAAGTATCTGTTGGGATTGGCTCCAATCAAGAACTACACATTTTCTACTAACTTATTTAATGATGTAAGTGTCAAAAGAACCACAATTCACTGACTCACTTATTCTCATCCCTAACTGTTAACATTTGTAATAAATAAACTTGTACTATTGAGAAAAAAAGATTTTGACACCTCACATATGCAAGTAGAGAATCGATAGTGTCAGTTTCAAAGATGATTTTTGTATTTAAAGTTTCTGGCTTAAATATCTAATGGTGCAGATTTTGAACTTTATAAGAACAAATTTGGTTAAAAAAGTAAGAACTTGCTCTAGTTTTGTGACCTTGTGTACTTTTTAAATAAAATTAAGAAAGTAGTTTTCTGCAATAAATAAATAAATAAATAAATAAATAAATTAATTAATTAATTAATTAAATTAAAATAAAGCAAAAAAAAAATCACCAAAAACATATCCTTGGGTGAGGACTGAAAAAAAGTTTTTTTTGATGTATATTCTGCCTG